CAACAACAACAAAACAACAACAACAACAATAATAATAACAAGAAAATAAAGAAAGTGAAGAGGAAGATGAAGAAGAATACAAACAAACAAACATAAAAGAGAGAGGAAGCAAGAGAGAAGAAAGTTTTTACCCTCGACAAACGCAAGAGAAAGCGAGAAAAAGTACTAAATAAAAAAAAATAAATAAATAAAAAAACATAAAATGAGTGGCGTTGGGCAAAAAAAAAGAAAAAGGAAAAAAACGTTTACACTCGTAGTATTACACAGTTTCATATTCGTTTAATGTTTACGAACCTCTTCCAAATGTTTACATGGTTTTGCTTAACATAAAATCGTCACGGCGCTTGGGTTTGTCTAGACTTCTCATTTCAACAGCGTGAGAAAAAGAAAAGAAAATTATAGATAAAGGGTAGATTGATAGCTATATGGGTAGATAGATAGAGAAAGAGATAAAGGGGAAGAGAGGGAAAGAGAAAGAGAGAGAGAGAGGAGGGCAGGTAGGCAGGCAGACAGACAGAGAGACAGATATACAGACAGACATAGAGACAGACAGGTAGGTAGACGGACAGAGACTGAAACAGACTGCCCAACAGGCAAAGAGAGACATAAACACACACACACACAAAACAGATACGTAGAGAAACGAAGGAAAGTGAAAAAGAGAAAGACAGATTTATACATTATTTTAAACTAAAATCTGTACACAACTAAAGCAAAATAATAAAGGGAAAAGGCTGGGCCAAGTTTTTGTAGTACTAGGAACAGGTATCTCGGAAATGCCTGCTGCCCACTCCCCTCCCCTCCCCCTACCCTCCCCCTCCTCCTGGTCCCCCGCATTGCTTGCAAAACGCAACTCCTCCTTCTCCTCCTCCTCCTTCTTATTTCCATCCGTGTTTTCGTTTCTCTCTCGAGTTTATTTGCGCTTTTTTGCTCTGGTTTATCTTCTTTTGTTATATTCTATTTCTTCGCCTTTTCTTTTTCTCCTTCTTCTTCTTCTTCTTCTTCTTCTTCTTCTTCGTCTTCGTCTTCGTCTTCGTCTTCGTCTTCGTCTTCGTCTTCGTCTTCGTCTTCGTCTTCGTCTTCGTCTTCGTCTTCGTCTTCGTCTTCGTCTTCGTCTTCGTCTTCGTCTTCGTCTTCGTCTTCGTCTTCGTCTTCGTCTTCGTCTTCGTCTTCGTCTTCTTCGTCTTCGTCCTACTATTATTACTACTATTACTACCACCACCATCACTACTATTTCTACTACTATTACTATTATCACTTCTTCTTTTTCTCCCTTGTCACTGTTGTCTTCCTTTCTCCCTCCTCTTTCTTTACCTCCTCACTCTCTTTTTCTTTCCTTACTTCTTTCCTTCAATTCTTCTTTCTTACTTCCCTCATTCCTCTTCCCTTTATCTTCACTCTCCCCCTGTTCTTTATTTCTCTCAGTAAAAAGAGGAAGAAAACAGAAGAGAGAAGAGATCAAAGGAAAACAAACAAACAGATAGCTTAAACAAAACGTGAGGATAGAAGAAAAATAAAAATTAAATAAGAAAGGAAGAAAATTATAGATAAGTCAAATAAATAAAACAAAATAATTGAACAAACAAAACATAAAGGACATATCATAATAAACAAACAAACAAACAAACAAAAGAAAAGAAGAGAAGAAATACCCAACCATAATAAATAAACAAAACTAGACAATGGTGTAAAAACTAGAGTGAAAATGACAGAGACAGATAGACATTACAAAAAAATAAAAAATAAAAACAGGGTGAGAAAAAGAAGAGGAAGAGAGAAGAATTCTGAAAATGCACATAATAAACAGGACAAAAAACGATGATGACCCAGTAACCCAACTCTCGGTATCGCGTCATCTCCCCGAGAGAAGAAAGAGAAACACGAGTAAGAGAAAGAATGAGAGGGAGAGAGAGAGGGAGGGATAGGGTGGGAGGGAGAGGGAGAGGGAGGGAGAGAGGGAGAGAGGGAGAGAGGGAGAGAGGGAGAGAGGGGAGAGGGGAGAGGGAGAGAGGGGAAGGGAGAGGGAGAGAGGGAGAGAGGGAGATAGGGAGAGAGAGAGAGAGAGAGAGAGAGAGAGAGAGAGAGAGAGAGAGAGAGAGAGAGAGAGAGAGAGAGAGAGAGAGAGAGCGAAGGGAGGGAGGAAGAAAAAGAAAGAGAGAGAGAGAAGAGACAAACAGACAGAAAAAAAACAGACAGACGGAACCAAACAAACTCACACCAGAATACACAAACGATATAAAGAGACAAAAAACAGAAAGGCTGACAGTCACGCGTACAACCCGAAAGAGAGACAAAGCGAAGAGGAGAAGAAAGCGAGGAACAAGCACGAAGCAACAAGGAAACTTAACGACGAAGAAGGTCAACGAGCAATCAGATAAGTCTTTGGGCGAGATAGTAAATGCGACCGAGCGGGCGGGGGGTCGTGATCGAGGGAGAAGTAAAGAAGCAAAGGAATGGGTATCAAAATTCAATGACGAAATAAAACTGGAGACGTTAAACACACACGTACGTACATACTCTCTCTCTCTCTCTCACACACACACACACACACACACACACACACACACACACACACACACACACACACACACACACACACACACACACACACACTCACACACACACTCACACACACACACGCATTCATACATTCACACGCGTATAAACAGCAACATAATAAAAAAACACCTAAAGAGAGGCACAAACACACAAACAGACACGAACCCCATAAAAAAAACACACACAACATACACCCCATCTAAGCGTAACACGGAGTCATTTGCGAGAGGGAACAGCCAGTGACGTGTCTTCACTAGCATTGGTAACATTCCCACGAAGATGGTATCAGCGAGGAGACTATACCCTGGACACGTGTTCCTGTATCCCACATATTGCGCTTCAGCCCGGGGATTCAACATACGGGCGCCGTTCAACCAGTCGAAATCGTTCTCAAGTGTCATTTACCCTGTACCCTTTGGATCTTTGGTTCGCTGGTATGTATTTTTGATTTTCTATGCCGTTATATGGTGTATTTCCTGTTTAATGTTTTTTTTTTATTCGCGCCGAGGCTATTTTTATTTCTGCTTTCAATCTACCGTGCCATTATTGTTGTTATCTTATTACTATTACTATATCTATCACATTTATCTCTAATCATTTTATCAAAATCGCTTTCCCCCGTCGGATTTACAACTGTTACTATGACTACGAGTACCACCCATTCACATTCGAACAAAGTCCCTGGTCAAAGTCGCAAGTATTTCACGCCCACGCACTTCGCGAGAGGGACTGCGCACACTAAGACTTGTGTTTTAGTAGCATCATTCAGTCGCAAAGAGAATCAAACAGCTGCAAGAGGCACGATGCCCTTGCCAACCACTGGCCACTTCCTCACACTGTAACAGATTGCATTATGTTGCCTTGAGCTTGTTAGCTAGCGCTGTTTATTGCAACAATGGTCCATCTTGCATGCGTTTTGTCCACACTTTGTGAATATGGTTTCTCAGCGTCATGCGTTCTGTTAAAACGCGAAAAATAAAATGAAAAGAAAGCATAAAATCAAAAACCAAAACCGCCAACTCAAAGAAACGATAAGAAATATTAAAAGAAAACACGAAATCAATCAGACGAGTTTGAATTTAGTCCAATCACAGTCTATCGGCGTCGACCCCGGTCCACCAAGTGCCTCCGCCGATAACCGAAAAGCTCGGCCAAAACCAAAGGCTACACGCAACGTTATGCTTCGTCACTACACCCACTACAACCACTACGCCACTACAACCACTACACTAACCCCACCATGACCGCACTAACAGCACAAGGATCACGGACCACACAGTACATAGGGGTGGATGTAACGCTCCTCGGTCTCCAACGGGGCTGTACAGATCCTTGCGCTCAGACCACTGGGTAGACCACAACTGCCTGGCTGGCTGGGGCATCAGACACACACTCACGCCCTTCCCCCCATCCCCCATCTTCTCTACCCTCCCCCCCTCCCTCCGTGGTGGTATTAGGAGGTGGGGTGCGGGCTCGGAGGGAGGGGTCGGAGGGAGGAGGAAGAGGAGGAGGAGAAGGAGGAGGAACGAGGGAGGGAGGAAGGGAGGAAGGGGGGGGGGATAGTTGGAAACGTAGGAAGATGACGATAGTGCAGGAGAAAGCAGGAAGAGGAGGAGAGGGAGAATGAAATAGAGAAAAGAAGTGGAAAAGCAAGAAAGAAGACAAAGATCGAAAACCGACTATAAAAACAGAAATAGGAAAAGAAAGAAAGAACACAAACACGACTAGTATTACTGTTATTACGGCGTCTGAGATGATGCCAGTGGAAATGCCAATAATATCAGGGTTGGCAGAGGTGTTGGAAAAGCTGACAACCCGGAGGGGGGGGGGGGGGCAGTGATGTTGGCCGGACCGATGACAACATGCGTGGAAGAATTAGAAATGATTAGAGAGGAATTAGAGTTGATCTTGGCCGCTGGAGGTGTGTGCCTGCATACCAACCGCCGGCCACGCACGGGCTATTACATGAGGGGCGGGGGCGGGGAAGGGGAGGGGGAAGGGGGAGGTGTAAGAGGTGGGAAGGGGGGGATGGGGAGAGATAAAGGGAGGAGGAGCTGGAGGAGAAGGAGAAGGAAGGGGAGAGATAAAGGGGAGGTGGAGGAAGAGGAGGAGGTGGAGGAGAAAGTGGTGGTGGTGAAGATGGAGGGGGGAGGAGGAGGAGGTGGAGGAGGAGGAGGAGGGGGAGGAGGAGGAGAAGGAGGAGGAGGAGGAGGAGGAGGTGGAGGAGAAAGTGGTGGTGGAGAAGAAGGAGGAGGAGGGAAGAAGAAGAGGAGGAGAAAGGGGGGAGATGAGGAGGAGGGGAAAGGGAGGAGGAGGTTGCGGGAAAGTGGGAGGGGGAGGAGGAGGATAGGGAGAGATAAAAGGGGGAGGAAGGAAAACGAAGAGGAAGAGGGCAAGAGGAGGGAGAAAGGAGGAGGAGGGGGAGAAGAAGGAGGAGGAGGAGGAGGAATGAGGACAAGGACGAGGATGAATGTAAGGACAAGGACAAAGACGTGTGGAGAAGAAGAGGGAAGATGGAAAAGGAAGAGATAAGAAACACGCAAAGATAACAGCACAATGATAATAATAATTAGACACGCAAATACCACAGTAAAAGAAAAAAACAACAGAGAAAGTCAGTTCCGCCGTTTTACCATAAGAGAACCAGTCATCCCCAAAGTATGCGCTACAGTAGGGTCCACTCGCTGCTTCGGTCTCCACCCTACATACCTGTTACAAGGACACTGCCAAATGACCAGACAATAAAAGACTGCGTTTAAAAAGGTCATGGTTTATTTATAGAATTGCTACTATTATTATTCTATTATCGTAATCATAGGTTAGTATCGTTATGATACTGTTTGTAGTTCCAGAAGTAGTAGGTGTATAGTAGTAGTAACAGTAATGACAGTTGTTGCTGCTTTTGTTACCATGAACTGGCAGAATACTGGTAGTAATAATAGTAGGTTGAGTGTAAGTATTAGAAAAAGCAGTGGCAGTATTGTCATTAGGCTAAGTAACAATACTAAGTGTAGCAACATTACTAGTAGAGCAAACTATTTTCTTGAATATAATGACCATCATTTCAATCATCATTCGCAAAGAAACACCTAATACTGTGTTATAAACGCTAGCTTCAACAGAGGGTTTGTTAATAACACTTAGAATTATTCAAATGTGATTGTTATCGTGATTGACAGAGAGACTGACATTTGTAGTAAGTGATGAAGATGAGGACTGGCAGCTACACTTGCTGAAAGTGATTACAAGCCATTACAATCTGAAAATAAGCAAATTCTCGCTTATAAATCCAATGTCCAACAAAGATCCAAAATAAAAAGAAGTCCGTGCAATTAGCGACGGTTATAAATCGTAAATCAACTGTTTATCGGCTTTTAATTACTCCAATAATGGTGACAATTGAAGGAATAGAAGGCATACAGCCATATGCTTTATCTGTGGTCACAAGAAAGAATGCCCTAATATTTGTAAATAAAAAAAACACGGACATAAGTTCGGCAGCAGCTTCTGACACGAGTATACAGTACAACAGACACTGTCAAGGTGAAGAAGCGGTGACAGGTGACACGTGACACTTGAGTGGAAAGCGCGTTGAACTGATAACGCTGGCATGGAAGGCGTTCGTAGGTATGTTTGGCATGACTGGGATCTTGTCTTATGAACACTGGTCACTGAAGGAAGGAAAACGAACAAGGCCTCCGACATAGCAGACGGAACATACGTGTTTGAGTGTGGGGGGTGGGGGGTGGCGGTTGTGTGTGAAACCTGCAAATACAATACTATTTAATAAACCAATTCCATCTAACAGGGAACTACTGACAACCAGCTATGAATACTATAACATCCTTGGACATAATCTCCGAGTGTCACCCACGCAGGAGAACTTCCGCGTGTGTCGCGTCCTGTAGCAACACAGGCTATCAAATTATCGGCGGATCGCTCCAGCATAGAGAAGACCATTAGGTATAAAAGCATCTAAAATAACATTAGCTTGTTCCAGCATCCCCTACCATGTCACAGTCCGGCAGGAAGAGTATAAGAGAGCCTTATGACACGTTGCATCAGCCTGTTTACCCATCGCCTTTGTGATGATAGAGATGGAGTCGGGGTTGGCGATCAATGGGGGTTGTGATGAGTATAGCGACAGTGAAGAAGAGGAGGATTTAATTCGGCCACGCAACATCAAGCTGCAACAACAACGATGACGAAACCGTCTGCGTCCCTGTACAATGCAGCGCCCGCGGGGAACCACAATGCATGATTAAAGGCAAACTAACTTCTGCACAGCCATTTCAACAAGCTAGTACAAGTAACATAGATTTCTTTATATAAAAAAAAACATTCTTCGAGGGTATAAAACACGTCCCAGACAAGACAACTAAGGTTAGGTCTTGCTATGTAAATAAGTCATCTGCATAATACCAAGAGACCAGTCATTGCGGGTGAATGCCGTAAAACAGAGTCATTCTCCCGCAAAAGTGTAAACATAGTAAAACGCCGTGACAAACAGGGGTCGTACGGCTAAAAATACCGTCGACGTGCGTAGTGGTTCACCGTAGAACCACGAACCGCAGCGCTAAATGTGGCCCATCTGTGTGTATTTCCAGCCATAGCATCAGCCGCTCGACCATAGCGTCCTGCTGCTCATCCTCTTAATCCTTGGAGGTCTTCCTTTCGGGAAACGGCCCCCTATGATTCGGCCTCAAAGGACACCGCTGCTCTAAGTCTTTCAGGGGAAACGTGGGTAAACAGAACACGCAGCTAGAAGGTCACTAAAAAGTAGAACAAATGACCATCAAAAAGAAGAAGAAAAAAATATAAGTACAAGTTTGTACGCTCGTGGGCATATGGCTTTCTCTGTCCTGATTCTTCTCAGTAATCAATACACTCTATTCACTATTGACAAAAAGCTTTTATTAAAAAGAGAACCGAGGAAAAAAATCAATAGGCAGTGAGATGAACCAGAAAAAAACGCGTTTATTGCATCTCTCATTCACGACTCATTCACAGCGGGGAGAGCGACCGGCCGCCTCAGCTGCCCCCAAACCGGACACCATTTCTCTGCCATCAATCAATACGAAGGGAAATAATACACAAATAGAATGGGGCACTGCACTAATCCGTCCGACAATCGAAAGCTCATCAGGCCGAGCGAAAAGCTCTGGGAATTAGCGATCGCAACTGAATCGGAGCCGCGAGCGATTCTCTCAGACGCTCCATGCATCCTCCTTCGCCCCCATCTCTCACCCAGGGCCTCCCCCCCCCGCCCACCCTCTCCCCTCACACCGCGCCCCCTCGCCCCCCCCCCTACCCACTCGTCCCTCTTCCCTTGCCTCCTCCCTGTCGCCCTCTACTCTCCTCCCTTCTCCTCTAACCCCGTGCCCTCTCGCTTCCCCCCCCCCCTCTCCGTCTCCCTTGCCCCGTGCCCTCTCGCTCCCCCCCCCTCTCCGTCTCCCTTGCCCCGTGCCCTCGCACATCTCCCTTCCCCCTCTCCATCCGCCGTTGTCCCGTGCCCTCTCGCTTCTCCCCTCTCCCTCTCTGTCTCCCTTGCCCCGTGCTCTCTCGCTCCCCCCCCCCCCTCTCCGTCTCCCTTGGCCCGTAGCCCTCTCGCTTCTCTCTCCCTCCCTCCTCTCCATCTCCCATCACTCCTTTCCTCTCTCCTCCCCCATCTCACTTTCCTCCCCCTTCTCTCCATCCCCCCTTCCCTCCCCCCCCTCCATCCCCCCTTCCCTCCCCCCTCTCCCCCTCCCCCCTCCCTCTCTCCATCCCCCCTTCCCTCCTCCCTCTCCCCATCCCCCCTTCCCTCCCCCCTCTCCCCATCCCTCTCTCCATCCCCCCCTTCCCTCCCCCCTTCCCTCCCCCCTCTCCCCATCCCCCTTCCCTCCTCCCTCCTCCCTCTCTCCATCCCCCCTTCCCTCCTCCCTCTCTCCATCCCCCCTTCCCTCCCCCTTCTCCCCCCTTCCCCTGCCCCATCAAGCGCCCTCACAGACCATCGGACAAGTAAAACAAATTAAACGCTGCCCCCGAAGCCCCGTTAACAGGATCATTACGAACTGGCGATAACTGCTCCGGCGGAAGGGGGGGCGGCGCTGAACTTGAACGGACGGCGGCGTAAGGGTATAAGTGAACGCTCAGGTCATCACCCCGCGCTCGGCCTAAAACCCCTCTCTCGCTCTCTCCTATCCCTCCCTCTCCTATCCCTCCCTCCCACCCCCACACTCGGCCTAACCTCTCTCTCGCTCTCTCCTATCCCTCCCTCTCCTATCCCTCCCTCCCACCCCCACACTCGGCCTAACCTCTCTCTCGCTCTCTCCTATCCCTCCCTCTCCTCTCCCTCCCTCTCCTATCCCT